TTCTAAAATTCAATTAGGTTGTTGGAACAACAAAGAAGAACTTTAATTAAATCATGCTAATTTAAATCCCAAGGTTCTAAAACAACTTCTAATAGTCCCAAATTAATATATGCTAGTAAACAAGTCATGATCAATACAATTATCAAGTTAAAAACTTAATTATGCTAAGGGGACCGTTAAATAGATTTTAATTAATTCTTTTAATTAAAATCCCTAGATTTTCAAACTTAACCAAATGCTCTCAATTTAACATATCTTAGAGAACATGCCAAGGATTAATAAAATATCACATTACAAGTTTATTTCATTCAATTTACGACCATGTGAATTAAACTTTCACTAAAGTTAAATATAAAATAAAAGTTGCAATTCTCATGCAATTAATCCTAATTTAATATACGTGAATAACCATACCAAAGCCTAATTTTCTAGCATGCCACAAATCAATTCCAAATTGTATATCACCATGAGGATTAAATCTTAAACAAGGAAATTAATTAAATGAAAGGTTTCAAAACCTCACCGAATATTCTAAATCAAATATATGTGAAGCTATATGGCATGTAGATCAAGAATATCAAGTCGGAATTCACATGGAGTGAATAGTGCACTCGGGGCAAATTAATTAATCAAGTTAATTACTAATTTTTCAAAACAATTCTGATTTCTCTCAATTTAATCTATGTTGAAGAGCATGCTATGGCCTAATATAATATGCTAACACATATTGATTTCAAGCTAGTTAAGGCCATGTGAATTAATCTTTCACCTAAGATAAATATTAAATAAAAGTTTTAGTACTTATTTAAATGCTCTAATTTTAATACACAACAATGAGCATATCATGGGTCAATATAATATCATGCTACATGTTTAAACCAAATCACGAGCAACCGGGAAAATTAGATCCCGTACAAGAAAAATAATAATAAAATCTCTAGATTTTATATTTAATCATGCAAACAAGTAATATAAGTATCACAAGCATGTTATATAACAAGAATTTAAACCTAGAACATCCCCTACCTCAATTTGAGATGAAAATCTCAAATCCCCACTGAAACGAAAGTGCTCCGAATCCGACGATACCGAGAGGTTTTGTCGAGTACAACACTGTGAACAAGAATCCGCAAGAAACCCCATGAAAATCCCAACTTGACTCCAAACCTGAACTCGAAAAATCATCAAAAATGGATTCTAATAAGGACATAAGATGCGCGGCGTCAAGACAAGCATTAAACGTTAAGGCCGAAAACTTTTCATCAAAGAAAAGTGAATCAAAAGAGGAGAGAGAAGATGGTAGCCATGGAAGGCTGTGGGATCTGGTCCAAAACGTGTGGGGAAGAAAAGGAAAATTATGTTTTAATTTTTCAAACCCCTATTTATAGAAAATCACAAAAAGTGCCCCGAAAGGGCCCCACCGAGTCTGGAAAAGTGGATTTTGAGCAGACGCGTTCAAACGGCAAAACTCCATGAATGAAAAAGATTCAAAATGAGAAAATATGAATAACGGAAGAAACGGCGTCAAAAATTGAGTCCCGAACAGAAATTTATGCCCTGAACAAGTTCGGTGGCAACTGGGGCCAAAAATCCCTAAAACTGGGGAAAACGACTAGAAGGAAATTCTAAGAGTCAATGACTCTACAAAATGTAAAAATGATCCCGTACGAGGATCCAGGCTCCAGACGAGACATTTTGCGATAACTTTTGTTAATTGCACAATGACCCCTACAAAAAGGATTAACTGCGAAACTGCCCCATAATGAAAATATCTTTCAAAAGATATTTTCTTAGATACCCCTGAAATAAAATATCTTCAAAAGATATTTATGAAAAATACCCCAAGAAATGAAAAAGATTCTAAAGAGTTGTGCATCCATGCCCCTATGGGCATCGGGAACAACTAGAGTACTTTCTTGCAAAAGTAAAAATACGTATTTCAAGAAAACTACTCAAGATGAAGGCACGTGAAGTCAAAAACCAACTCCGAACATGAGAAGTGAGGTTGTGCCAAAAACTGACAAACAGAGATAAGACAGAATAGGGAAAAGGACGAAATAGCGCATAGTGTCGAAAAACGAAAAATGTGAAAATAACTCGGTCCTCAAAGGAAGTTGTTAATCCACGGAAAAGAGTCTCAGGAACCAATTCCGAGTACTCGAGATGACACTAAGTGACACGAAACAGAGCTCAGAAAAGAAAATTAAACGAAAAAAATTCATTCGTAAAATTTCAAGAAAAAGGAAAGGAAGGCAAATGAGCGGATCGTTACACTAAGTCAGTGTATTGGTGTGCTTGGAGTACACTAAACTAGATCACCATAAGATCACACCATACAAATTACTGTCATTATTTTGGTATGCTTCTTATCTACTAGATACATTAAGCTCTAAATCCTGAGAGGTTTAGTGGACTCAAGTTTTAGTATTGTCACTTTGACTTACCAATATATGAGATCTTTTAAGGTCAATACAATGGTATCTTGGGTGGCTAATGCGGGAGCTGTGGGAATACAAATGCTCAACATGGAATCCACACTCTTTATAAGAGTTAGAATATCCCTTTGATACAATTTAATAAGTTTAATCACTGGAACCTGGCCAGGGCTTTTTTAGTAAAATGTTTACTAAATTAATTTTCTATTATTTATTTAGAAAAATATTTATTTTGTAAAATTCTTTTATAAAAGAAATTAATTCAGTGATCATAAAGATTAAATTGGTTGCTTAAGGAATATAAGATATAAGTAAGCCTTAGGTGGGACGGTATGTATTTTCCTGTGGCTACTTATGGATATTCAGTAATAGAGGGGCTTATATGTAACTATTTAGTAGGATAGGGCTTATTGTAATTTTTGAATCATAGAGTGCAATTACAATACTATTGTGATGCTTATTATAATTAATTTGATATGATAGATTTATGAGGTAACTTTATCTCTATCAAATTGAAGTTAGGATAAGAATCCCTTTTTGATCCTCATCTCTACCCCCATCTTTATACGGTATTATATCTCTCGGGTTGTATATTTTGTGTATGACGTACAAAACTATAATATACAGAATAACGAGAGTGAGAGGTAGAGGGTTTCCACAAACCTGTATTCTGGGGTCATAAAGGTGAAGTTTCACTGCTATTCAAGGCCAAAGAAGAAGGTCTTTATTGAAGTTCATAGCCAAAGAAGGGTGTACGATTATTCAATCGTCTAAAAGTATGAGATCCCTTTTAGTACTTCTTGATTTGATGGAATATCATGTGGTTACAATCTAGAAAATTTTATATTTGCTTATGTTTTGCATTCACCCTCCTCTTATTAATAGACAAGAGAGTGATCCTCCTTATTCAATGTTTCGCTTCCATATGATCGTCACAAGTGCCGAAGACAAACAACACAAGAGTAATGATAAAAAATCTAGATCAAGAATTTTATCAAACAGACTATGGCTCTGATAGCAATGGTTGGGAAATGAAACAATTACCCCCGCAACAAATACATCAGTCATTCACAGAATCAAAACGAGAAGAAAACACACCGTGGATTTACGTGATTCACCCAAAATTAGGACTACGTCCACAGAAAACAAGACTTCCACTAAATTGTAAAACCATACAAAATAATAGACGATTACATAACGATATCACTCACTACCCTCTAACACTTTTGTACCCCAATCACTTACAACGAAAATCTAATCTCTCAGTCTCAAAGTGCTCCACACAATGTGTCCTTTTAAATACACTAAAAGTAGTCATTTCAAACCAGAGTTATAACTCTTTCAAATTATAATGAAAGTTATCCTTGTCGTCGTGGTTAACATTATCAGATTAATTTTTTTTTTTTATCAAGGCAATGTTAGGAGTTAGAGGAGAGTTAGAGGGATGGATAGCTCAAACACATACACTCACCCCCACCTTGAGGAGGCGCGCCCACCACCTGGGCTACATGGCACATCCATTATCAGATTATTCTACCGCCTTGGATTACCTTAGTTATAATGTGGGTGGACCCCAACGTATGTTCCATGGTATTGTACAGTACTCTTTTCTATTTTTTACTGGGAAAGTAAAAATCCAACATTAGGTACTATACTTTGAAAAATAAATGATCGTTGAATTAGCGACAAGGACATTTGAGGACAAGGTTTTGAGGCCCTCAACTCGAGGGAGTTGGATTAGATAAAGTAGACGCCAATGACTGAATAAGTTTTATAGGGTCACAAAATGTTGTTCATTTATCTCCATCACTATTTCATAGTTTTACATAGAAATCTACTGTTGAATTCACCCGATCAGATAGAATCCAATTTAGTAACACCCAGTAACAATGACAGAATAATTGTAGTGTAGAGAACTATTCTTGAATTCACTCGATCAAATAGTACTCATTTTAGTAAGGTTGAAAGCCAAATTTATTGAATGATTGTGCAAATTAGATAGTACCTATTTTAAGAACCTCCATAGCCAAAGTTATTAAACAAGGCTATGCTTGTTTCAACGTAAACATTTTTCTTTTTTAAGTAAAATATTCTTTTATTTTTACCTCATCGGTGTTTGATAAAAGTTTACGTCTTGATCGAGTCCATCGGACGGGGCATGTAAAATAACTTGCCAAAAATTTATAAATAAATTATTTTTGTAAAATTTTTTTTTTTTTTTCTTCATAAATATTTTACGACAATCAAACAACAGAAAGTAAAAAAATATTTTCTGAAAAATATTTTACGTCCAAACAAACAGTGCCTAAATGTTTCGGGCATTCGAAACTGTAGTTGGAGTATAATGTGACAGGGTTAAAGGGTATAGATATTGAATTTTTTGTCAAATGGTCTGTTTATTTGTGTTGGATATGAACATAAAAAATTCTGAGAGATTTTATAGTGCTACTTCTTGTAGAATACTAATTGCCTCAGTACAAATGCAATATCAAAACAATACTATCACACTGATATAACAAATTATCTACAAGTGCATTGCCCAATAAACAATAGGAAACCAACTAATTTGAGCATAATATCACTTGATTATAGCTTGTATGAAAATATTCAAATAAGTACTAACAGCGATTACATTCTCATAAACTTTATTGATCCCTCCTGTATAGATTCTTACAGCTAACCACATATTCTAATTCTAATTTCATTTCTGGATATCTATATATATATATATATATATTACAGTGTACAAAATAAGAGTACCTGCTACTACCTGGACACCCTGCTCTCTTGTTATATTTGAATGTGATTTTGCTTATCTTTCATGGTTCATCAGACCAGTCACTGAGCTGATCGCCATCATAAAACAAGCCATCGACAATTTGGTCCACCAGCGAATCGATCAATGTGTTACATTTGAAGGTGAAGATGCGGCCTACTCTAGTCCGAGCACTGGAGAACCAAGCGAAGATCGCAGCACAAGTTACCGCTCCCAGGCACACCCCTGCTGCTTCAGCTATCCGCGGTAAATCCATCTTTTTGAACAAAGAATTTCCGGTCACCACTTCCATTGTCACAGTTGCTGCAAACACAACCTGAAGAGTACAATGGTGTTAATTGTCAATCACTTATGAAATTACCTTTAAATTGTGATAATGTGTTGTGTGCATTTCCAGGTATGAAAAGTTTGGGCCAGAGCACAACATGCAATGCCTTGTGCTTCTAAGATTATAAAAAGGAATGAGACAATGTGCTTGTATCTATATCCCCACAAGAATTTGTAAATGAAGAGGATAATATACACCAAAACTAATGCACAGAAGCCCCAAAATTTGGTACTAAACTATTTACTCAGTTGACACTTTCTTTCCTTTCAGGGTAAATAAGAGCCACCCACTACCATGAGGTTGGCTCTAATAGCTTAGGGAGAGGGGTACTCGAACACGGGCGTATCTGATAGGAAATTGACTTAGCTGAACGCTCTACTAACTAGGTTATTGAATAATGACCATAGTATCTATAGATACTTATTGGTGATTAAAATCCCTTTATCTAACAAAAAATTTGAAAAATTCTTATTACAATTTTTTAATATTTGTAAAAATGTTTATCATTAATTTGTTCCAGATTGATTTTTTTTTTTTTCTTAAAAGACTATGTATAAAGGATACTTTGAACTCGTCCAACTCCGATACAGGGAGGGCTTATAGGATTTGAAATTTTATTTTTATTCGTGTGACCACTTGCAAGTGAATCTGTTAACAAATCAGATTGGACTAAATCAGGCTTGATCCAATTCAAACTCAATAATGCTATATTTGGTATTTGTATTTTGGATTTGATATTGAAAAAAATGTAATACAAATTTTGAACTAAATTTCCTTCAATTTCAAATTTAAAAATTCCGTGCTCCCAATAGTAACATAAGGTAATGTTGCAATACCTCTTTTTCTTGTTTTTTTCATAGGCAACAAACTCATACACGAACTTACCCACCCAATTTGCTCATTTGTAGATTTGAATCCTCACCATCCATTTTAAAAGGCCAAAAAGATCGATCCTTGGTGCAATCTTATTTATGAAATAATAAAATTTGATTTGTTCTTAATTAGATTTATCACAAAATAACCTGTAATTTCTTATTAAAAAAATAGAAAATAAAATATAAAAAAGCCGAAAAAAAAAATGAAAAGAAAAAATTAAGTGCTTGACTTTTTGTTAGAGAAAAAATAATAATAATAATAATAAAGAATAAAAAGAGGGAAGGAGAAGAAACGATGGTGTTAAAAATATTTTGATGCTGAGTTAATAATAGAGTATATTATAGAATTATCAGATACAAATCAACTTAACAAATTTAATATTCAATCCATGTCACCGATTTATTGGATTAGAAAATTTATTAGTCAAAATCCAAATATTGACAGGTCTGTCCGAAAAAAAAAAAAAAAAGCAATTAATGAAGAACATACCATGGCAAGACGACCGGATATGATCTCAAAGTCCTGACTCTTCTTGGAGCTCTCTATGTACTCCGACAGAGTCGCGAAGAACGGCGACGACGACACCCCATCACCGCCCTCATCGTCACCACCGTGCCTCCGCGGCTTCATCATCACCCCCACCTGATCAGAACCGTACGATCTGAGCGTGCATAGACGAGGCTGTAGCACGATCTTCACCTTATCCGTCCCGGTCGACGCCGCCGGTGACACATCGGAGGCCCTCACCCTCTGAACCGGAACAGGAACCGCCGGTTTTTGAGACGCGAGCTCGCAGAAAACCGGTCGAGCCACCTTAGCCATTGGAGAGAATCTTAGACCAAGAAAATGGGAACCTCAGTGGGCTTTCGAGGAATCCGTATGGAGGGTTGTCTTTGAGATGTGTGTGTTCTCACTTCGAAGTGTGTGGAATGTTCAAAGGCGAGTGATTTGTCCACGTCTGTCGAAAAGCTTGTGAGGTGGTTGATGACGTTACTACGGGGTTGTTGTTGTTATTACGTGGCATAATATTCTTCGATAACATGCTTTTCAGTGGGGATGTAGAAGTGGTTCGGTGCAATTATTTTCTGTTGTTATTATACGTCGACATGGACTTGTACTACAATTGTTTACAATTATTACATGGAAAATTATTTAGTTACCCTATCCCGTTTGAATATGTATATAATTAAGTTTGAAAAAAATTTAAACTTTTAAGGTGATTTTATGGTAACTTGTAAAATATGTTTTTCCAAATTTTTTAAATTAGTAATTATTTTAAGATAATTCAAAAAAAAAGATATATAATTAAATTAAGACTGAGACTCAGAGAGATGAACAATTACTGAACTTTCACGTTTCACGTTTTGCTACCCTAAATTCTCAAGAACAATATTCATTGTGACTAAATGATCCTACAGGTCTAATTATAATACGGATAAGTACAAAATTGAAAAATTAATAAATAAAGTTTTTTTTTTTTCTTTTCTTTTTACTTTCCTAATTTTATAATTACAAATTAGGTGTATTCGTGATTGGACTTCATACTTTAGGGTATGTATTGTCCAATTCTTAATGGGCCTCTAACATACCTCTAATTTCAATTTTACCTCTCAATAAATGAAAAGGAATAAAAAACATTAATTAGTTGTAAAATGAGACAGAATCCTTGATGACAATATATATATATATATATATATAGGGAGGGGTATTTGCACTCTATTTTTGTTACATTTACACTTTACTTGTCTTTTCTTTTTCTTGACTCTATTTGGTTAAATGAAAATAAGCTAAAAAAAAAATAGAAAGTGAAAAAAAAGTGAAATGAATGAAAAGAAAAGAGATTTTCTAACATGTACTTGATTAGTATGAAAATTTATCCAGGAAAATTGTAAAAAAATATTAATTTGTTAGTTTGGATAATATGAAAGTGAAACGAAAGTGATTATGGATACCAAAACTGCATTAAATAGAATGATGGATTATTAAATTCAAATATATAATTGTTTATATTTATTTTTATTTAGAATAAAGCTTCATAATATTTTCTTTGGTAAAACTAATTATTAGTTTAAGATAAACAAATTTTAAAAATTAAAAAATTAGAGATGAGGAGGCAATACTACTATTTGGGAAAAAAAAATCAAATATTTCACCATATAATATATATATATATATATATATATATATATATATATATATCTATACTATTATTAAATGTGCAAAGTGTTTCAGTATTTCAGTATTATTTATTAATTGATATAAATTCTATAACTCAAAATTACCTAATAAAATTAAAATAAATTCAAATAAACAAAATATAAAAATAGTTTAATTCAAATTATAAAGTCCCACATTGGTTTTAAGTAAAAAGGATTACATGAAAGCCTCTTATAAAACTATAGAGCTAAAGAAATAATAATCACACTTTCTCGGCCTTTTGGCTAAGATCAAGTGTAGTATTAAATTTTTTTGAGTAGGCCTTTTGACTAACATTTCTTAGTCTTTTGACTAAGATCAAGTGTAGTACTACTTCTCGGCCTTTGTGCAAAAGTTTCAGTATTTATTTATTAATGGATATAAATTCTATAAAACTCAAAATTATCTAATAAAATTCAAATTAATTAACATTAACAAAATATAAAAAGAGTTTAATTTACAATAAAGAGCTCTCATTAATTATTATATCCCACGATATAAATTCTATAAAACTCAAAATTACCTAATAAAATAAAATTTCAATCTATAATCAATTGTGCTTGACCAATGGTTCATAAATTAACCTATTTATCTATTTATTATTATGAATTTTTTAATAAAAGAAAATTTAATTAGACAAGAATTATTAATATAAAAATATTTATTAATTGATATATAAAACAAAATAATTTTTCTAAAACTCTACCATAAATTAGTTTTATTATGAGTTTCTTAGTAAAATTAAATCTAATTAGACAGAATATATTTAAAGAAAATAAAATAATTTCTATAAAACTCTATCACAAGTTATCTATTTTATTTTTAATAAAACTATATAACACTAAACAAAAATATATTTAAAGAGTTTCTATAAAACTCTAATACAAATTAACTATTTATCTATTTATTATGAGTTTTTTAATAAAAGGAAATCTAATTAGACAAGTGTTGTTAATATAAAAAATTATTTATTAATTGATATAAAAAGAGGTTTTAAAAGAATTTCTATAAAACTGTAACACAAATTACCTATTTATCTATTTATTATGAGTTTTTTTAATAAAAATAAATCTAATTAGACAAGAATTATTAAAATCAAAAATATTTATTAATTAAAAATTACCTAATAAAATCATGCAAAGTGTTTCAGTATTTCAATATTTATTTATTTATATAAAAAAATATTTATTAATTGATATAAAAATAGTTTTTGTAAAAATATTTTGTATAAAAGTGTAAAAATTACCTAATAAAATCAACCAATGCTATATAAAACTCTAATTTTTAGTTCAATATAAAAAGAATAGTTATTTTTTATGGATAATTATCACAATATAACCAGTCCGGCCCGGTCATGATTATGTAATTATCAAAAAATGAAACATGTCATCATCCTATTAATCCAAGAAGCCAATAAATAGAGGCATGGAGGAATGAGGAAGGTGTACAAAAATTGAAAATTCTAGAAATCCAAATCTCTGCCAAAGAGTTTCAGTATTTCAGTATTTATTTATTTATATATAAAAAAATATTTATTAATTGATATAAAAAGAGTTTTTATCTATACTATTATTAGATGTATAAAGAGTTTCAGTATTTAAGTACAAATTGCCTATTTATCTATTTATTATGAGTTTTTTTAATAAAAGTAATCTAATTAGACAAGAATTATTAAAATCAAAAATATTTATTAATTGAAAATTACCTAATAAAATCATGCCAAGTGTTTCAGTATTTCAGTATTTATTTATATAAAAAATATTTATTAATTGATACAAAAATAGTTTTTGTAAAAATAGTTTCTATAAAATTCTAAAAATTACCTAATAAAATCAATCATATTCTATATAAAACTCTAATTTTTAGTTAAATATAAAAAGAATAGTTATTTTTTATGGATAATTATCACAATATAACCGGCCCCGCCCAGTTATGATTATGTAATTATTATTAATCCAAGAAGCCTATAAATAGAGGCATGGAGGAAGGAGGAAGGGGTACAAAAATTGAGAATTCTAGAAATCTAGAATTTCAGAGTAAAATACAGAAATTCAGCCAAAGAGTTTCAGTATTTAAGTATTTATTTATTTATATATATATAATTTTTATTAATTAATATAAAAAGAGTTTTTATCTATACTATTATTAGATGTGCAAAGAGTTTCAGTATTTATGTATTTATTTATTTATATAAAAAAATATATTTAAAACACTAAAATCTACATGATAAAATTTAAATTAATCTATTTATCTATTTATTATTATGAATTTTTTAATAAAAGAAAATCTAATTAGACAAGAATTACTAATATAAAAAATATGTATTAATTGATATATAAAATAAAATAATTTTTCTAAAACTCAACCACAAATTAGCTTTTTTTTATGAGTTTCTTAATAAAATTAAATCTAATTAGACAAGAATATATTTAAAGAAAATAAAATAATTTCTATAAAACTCTATCACAAATTATCTATTTTATTTTCAATAAAACTCTATCACACTTGACAAAGATATATTTAAAGAGTTTCTATAAAACTCTAACACAAATTACTTATTTATCTATTTATTATGAGTTTTTTAATAAAAGAAACTCTAATTAGACAACCATTATAAATATAAAAAATTATTTATTAATTGGTATAAAAAGAGGTTTTAAAAGAGTTTTTATAAAACTCTTAAGCAAATGACTTATTTATCTATTTATTATGAGTTTTATAATAAAAGTAAATCTAATTAGACAAGAATTATTAAAATAAAAATATTTATTAATTAAAAAATACTTAAGAAAATAATGCAACGTGTTTCAGTATTTATTTATTTATATAAAATAATATTTATTAATTAATATAAAAATAGTTTTTGTAAAAATAGTTTCTATAAAATTTTAAAAATTATCTAATAAAATCAATCACATTTTATATAAAACTTTTATTTTTAGTTCAATATAAAAAGAATAGTTATTTTTTATGAATAATTATCACAATATAATTGACCCGGCCTAGTTATGATTATGTAATTATCAGAAAAGGATACATGTCATCATCCTACTAATCCAAGAAGCCTATAAATAGAGGCAAGGAGGAAGAAGGAAGGGGTATAGAAATTGAAAATTCTAGAAATCCAGAATTTTATAGTAAAATATAGGATCTCTCCCAAACAATTGCAGTATTTATTTATTTATAAAAAAAATATTTATTAATTGATATAAAAAGAGTTTTTATCTATACTATTATTAGATGTGCAAAGAATTTCAGTATTCAAGTATTTATTTATTTATATAAAAAAAATATTTAAAAAACTAAAATTTAAATAATAAAATTTAAATTAACCTATTTATCTATTTATTATTATGAATTTTTTAATAAAAGAAAATCTAATTAGACAATATTTATTAATATAAAAAATATTTATTAATTGATATATAAAACAAAATAATTTTTCTAAAACTATACCACAAATTAGTTTTTATTATGAGTTTTTTAATAAAATTAACTCTAATTAGACAATGATATATTTAAAGAAAATAAAATAATTTCTATAAAACTCTATTACAAATTATCTATTTTATTTTCAATAAAACTCTATCACACTAGACAAAGATATATTTAAAGAGTTTCTATAAAACTCTAACACAAATTAACTATTAATCTATTTATTATGAGTTTTTTTAATAAAAGGAAATCTAATTAGACAAGTATTATTAATATTAAAAATTATTTATTAATTGATATA